GCCCAGGTCCTGGGCTTAAACCACTTCCTGGCCTTCCAGGTCCCACACCAGAATTGCTGCTTGATCGCCCAGGTCCAGCACTTGAACCACCACCTGGATGTCCAGGTCCTCCTTTTCCTAAGCTGCTGCCTGATCGTTTTGCATTTGAGTTGATTCCATGCTGAAGGGCTGCAGCATTTCCTGAGTTTGTATGGGCAGACTTTTTCAGGCTGGATTCTTTAGCAGATGGTAGCCTCTGAGCCCCACTGGCCATTGGTTTTGAGGGTGGCACATGAGAGCTTGAGCCAGACTTTCCAGTACCATTGGCAGGTAATTTACTATGACTGCTACCAGTAGAGCTTTTTAAGGAGCCATTTTGTGAGGTTTTTTCCTTTTGATCAAATCTGGATGAAGATGATGAACGTGAGTGTTTTTCAGTCAATGCTGGTGCTTTGGATTTCTTATCCATACTGCTCATAGAAGACGACAGGCTGCTTTTTGGTGCGGAATGTTTGTCTACTGAGCATTTGTTAAGTTTTGCATTTACAGATTCTCTCTGAGAAGTCACTTTTTTTGAAGAATTGGATAGCCCTGTGTTCTTAATCTCCTTCTCACTTTTCTTATGCATTTCTATTCTCTTGTTTTTGCGTCCCAAATACTCCATCTCTCTCAATTCTTCTGCTGTTCTTGGTCTCTCTTCTACCTTTTTCACTGCTTTTATTTCCACGGGTTCATATTGTTTTTTTTCAGCAAGCCTTAAGAGCTCTGCAAAGTTCAGAGGTGCTGGTGCAGTTTTGGGAGGTGCCTTTGGTTTCACTGCAGCTTTGGATGGTTTCTCTTCATATTCTTCTTGCTCATGCTCAGATTCAGTCTGACTGTATTCCAGTTGTTCAGTTTCATCTTCTGTTGCATACTCAGCCTCTGGGGCCTGAGCAACATTCTCACAAGCCCTCCTCTTTTTAGGCTTCTCTTCAACAGGAATGTTTTTTTAGCCATAAAAATTATCTTTTGTTCGTGAGGCCATAGCTCTTGCCTTTCTGTCATGTTTTAGTTCAATACGTCTAGCCAAGAGTTCTTCTTTCTTTCTTCTTTCTTCCAGTGCTGTAGAAGAAAAATCAGGAGAAAGTTATGCAAAAGCACTACTTTTATTTCAATTTCTTCCAAGCTGACAAATCATTTAGGACAGTAGTTTAAGGATATCTGGCTAACAGCTATTCAAAATAGATCAGAAAGTGACCAGAGGTTTGCCAACAGGGCAAGCTAACCCACTGAATCAGCTACTCCAACAAACAAAGGCAAACAATTAAGTCAAATGCTGCTATTGCAAAATTCACTATGGTGACTCAAGTGAAGCAGCTCTCCAGAATGCTATGCAAGCTAAGGAGAATTACTCTGTGTGGAGGTACAGGACCTATGGGATCTCTGGGTAATGGAAGGAGTTCTGAGACTGAGCAAGAGAATGTTGAGACTGTACAGAATTTACTATTAGATGTTTAAGGGAAGATGAGGAAAGAGAGGGAATCAAAGAATATTAGGGAAATAAGAATTGGAAAACAGGCTGAGTGTATGCATAGTGGGGTGTAGAGGAGAGACAGAAGGAGCCAGCCACAGATGAGTACACTGCTGGTCACTACATCTTTCTAGTAGAGCCCTGTGCCCTATCTCCACAGCCTGTCCTATATTCTTACTGAACTGTTTTCAGCTATTTTCTGCATAAGCATGCTCTCTATCTTGAGTCTGTGTGACCTGCTAACAAAATTCAGGCTGAACTAGCTGGTGAATAGGATGAGAGGTCTGAATGCCAGATACTGCAGAGACCAAGGGAGTAAGGGCCAAATACCAGAAAGACACAGGAAAAGCATCAATTCCTACTAAATGGATTGGGCTACTCATGCTTTGGGTGTCTGTAAAAGTACCATTCCCTGCCTATATTATTCTATTGTCAAGGGTTATGACTGTATCAAGAGAGTGTGCATGCATGCCTATTTGGAATTCATGTTCATTCTTGCTTCTGACTGGACCTGGAAGTAGGGATAAGGAGGCAGCTCATGACTGGCTCAGGAGAGAAGGAATAACCCGGGCTATCCAGTCCATCGGATCTGGTTACCTTTAACAAAAGGTTAACATTAGAAGCAACACAGTATTAGTTTATTCTATAGACTAATTAAAGGAAATATAATACAGTGGAAAAACTGTGACTCAATCAAAGCCTCTGCTATACAAATTTAAATTCAGACTGTATCGATACACTAGATTAAGAACCAGGAACTCTTACCATTTTTCTCCACAGATAAAGCTTTTCAAAGTTAAGTTACCAAAAGTCCAGATGGTTTCTTGCAATATCTCTTCACCTTAACTACTACTCAAACAGTAAATGCTAGTATAGCCCTAAGAAAGAATGCAAACATCCCTAGTCCTTATACTCAAACAGTAAATGCTAGTATAGCCGATTAATATTTAGCTCCTTAAGAAAGAATGCAAACATCCCTAGTGCTTGCTCAGTCCTGGCTTTCCCTCAGCATCAATTACATGCATAATTTCCAGAAACAGATGCGTAGTTGTATTTGCAAGAGCTTTGAAGGAGGTGACAGTCTCAAAGAGTCAATGAAAGTCTCCCATAGGGAATATTTTTAACTGTTACCTTTTTTTCTTTTTTCTTCTTCTTGCCGTCTGAGAAATGCTTGCACTGCTGCAGACTCTACACCCTTGACTTTTGGAACCTTTTTGGGAGGACCAACAGCTAAACTGTACCTTTTCTGTAAAGAACAAATAAATATGTTAGAAAACTTATGGACTGTAAAAATCTTAAAGTTTTTAAAACTAAGGAGTTGTATAACACTCATGTAGTTGACTTTAAGCATAGAGATGGTACAGAATAAACAAACAATGAATTCCCACTGAAGCTGAGAGTTATGACAGATACACTTGACTCCTACTAAGGAGCCTCACATCCTTGGGGTGAATTGCGAGCTAGAAAGCCCCTGGTTCATGTGCAAGGGAGTGAAGGTGTCTTGAAAAATATTTTGAAAGGTGGTTTCAAAACCCAGAAGTGCAAGATAACCAAAGTACAGAACAAGATACCACAACTAAAATGAAGACATCTTGTCTATACTATTGACTAGCAGCCAACTATTTCACCCTATAAATATTACCATCAGGATGGGCCAAATTTGAGCTCTCCCTAAATTGCAGCTAGACTGCATGCCTAGCGACTTTCCCCTTGAGCAGGGACACCTCTCAAGGTTAGAGATTCTCTGCCTGAGACTAAAAGATCCTTCCTCACCCAAGGTAGAGAGACCCCTTATCTGTGACAGATCCTTGGTAAGTGACTGATAGCATGCTGAATTAATATTATTACTAATCCATGTAGCTACTCAACATTATCATAAACATTGTATGGATAATTCCATTAGACAAACTGTTGACCGAGTCTGGGACTAAGATTGGATCCAGCCACACCTAGGCTCCCAAAGGAGTTTAGAAAGCAAGGGGATCCACTCTGAACCTCATGACTCAATGGGAGGGTCCTCCTCACTCTTTGCATCTCCAGTCTGTGTGAATCATTCTAACTGCTGTCACACTTACTGAACCTTGTCAAACCACTGTTAAAACTTTGTTAAATTCCATCAAACTTACTGAACTCCAAAATTATTATCTCAAAAATATATTGCTGCTTCTCTTTTGAGTGAGGTGAATTTAACTTATCTGGGACAAGAGTGCACTTAGCTTTCCAAAGGAATGAGCAGGAAAACAGAAGACAGGTAGGGAAACCAAGCGAAATGAGTAAAATGCACTAGACTGAGAAGGAAAGCAACAGATGCATCAGTAATGGAATAAAAATATTTCAGCTCAGCCTTAATCCTTGACCAAGCAGGAAACAAAAGCAGACTCAAGCTCAAGCTGCCAGAGTCTATTCAGTGTCAGACTGCAGGTTTACGGGTCCATTAGGGCTTTCAGCTTTTTTGTGAATGCTCATTTCAGTTTCAGGTTATCTTATTTAGTGAAAATAAGTAAACTAACTCAAAAAATTGAATTGCTCCAAAAGTTGGAACTGACTTCACCAACACAATTAGTGGGTTGGTCTAAACCCAGTGATATTTAATTCCTACTGCAGCTGATCTTAAACAGAAAACTATTGCACATCAAGGAGTTAGTGATCACATACCAGTTAACCTAAGTGCGGGTCTGCACTCTACTATACTTACCACTTGAGACCACTGGATGAACTCAGCAGACTAATTGTGACAGAATACAGAGACCCCACTTGACACCTGGCAGTTACACCACTGGCGCGTGGTGTAATCTGTCTGGAGAAGAGAAGACTTCAGGGAGACCTTATTGCAGCCTGTCAATACTTAAAGGGGGCTTATGAGAAAGATGGGACAAACTTTTTTTCAGTAGGGCGTGTAGGAATAGGACAAGGTGTAATGGCTTTAAACTGGAAGAAGGTAGATTTAGACTAGATATAAGAAAAATGTTTTACAGTGAGGGCAGTGAAACACTGGACCAGGTTGCCTAGAGACATGGTAGATGTTCCATCCCTGAAAACATTCAAGGTCAGGTTGGATGGGGCTCTGTGCAACCTGCTCTAGTTGAAGATATCCCTGGTTACTGCAGGGGGGTTGGATTAGATGACCTTTAAAGGTCCTTTCTAAACCTAACTATTCTATGATTCTATGTCTCACACCTTGAAGCGAAGAAGCATGTTTTCAAATAACATCCTTTTGCTTCGCAGTGGAGATGATAAATAGAGCTGTTTACTTCAAAGAACATCCTCCTATAAAAGCTCCAAAAACTACAATACTGGTGGATCCTCACTACACACAGGATTTGCACAGCTTGCCATGCCTAAATGTCTGTCCAGTGCTGTACAACTCAGGGTTCCAGCAGCTGAACAGGTGTAAAGTTCTATGCTACCCCCTTTTCTCCTTCCCCTGTTATCTCCAATATATGTTATTTTAATCAATGTTAAGATACTGAATGCCTTTCTTACTGGGATCTATAACAAACACTTGCACTAGTGTGCTACACCTGTTCAAACATTACCTTTCATAAATATACAGATTATCAGATGGGGCTTCAGAATAACAAAATGGAAAGAAACAAAGACTTTTTTGATCTTTTTCCCACAAATAAACTCTGCAAGACAAACAAAGCAATGAGCAGGACAGAGACACTTGCAAAGATAAATACAATAGAAACCAGTTAAATCCAGAGGCAGATGGAAAGCAGAAGAATATATTTAGGAAAAAAAAAACAAACCAACTCTATTTGAGGTTTGGGTGTTTTCCTGGATTTCAGTAATAAGCCAAAAGATTACAACCTAAACCAAGATCTTCCACATGGAAAGTTAAGATCCTCACCAAATGAAAGAGCTGTGAAATACAGTCCCAAATAAAAACAGTATCACTAACAAAAAAAGCTACACAAGTCAGTGTTCCCATATTATCTTCCTATCCTCATATAGCCTTATGAAACAGAACTAAAAAAATTAAAATATCTGGTAAAGATACCTACATGCAAATGTTTTAGAAGCAATAATCAGGCACAACTCCCTATACATTTCAATATCACCCAATGGAAGCTTTTGTTCTAATTTCTAATCCACTGAAACAGCAGCATATGAATAGATCCTTGGATTAGTTTAATTTCTAACATGCAAACCCATATATTATCTTGTATATACATGCATTAAGAAGGTTCAGAGACTCATTTTTAAAATGCAGCCAAAACTGGCTCCAAGAAAGGCAGCTACAATAACAGCTATTTGTAGTTGCCCTTAGTAATTTCTGAAATGACTAAACAAAATTATAAAGACACACCATCCACATACACTGCAGTAGTAAAACCTGACATGTTGCCTCATCACATTAAAGACATGCTACAGTCAAGCTCACTTACCAAGATCCACCTCTGCACAAGAGTTCAGCACAATCTGAGAACTATTATTATTTTGTAAATCCTTATTACTTTGAGAAGCTCCAACACTGAACAACTTTTGGTACTTACAATTTAAATCATTACAGTTGATCATCATAGCTAAGACTATTTTAAGGATAAGAAGATAGCTGGAGCTAGTCTCCTCTCTTCTGGGAAGCTGAGGTCCTTCCCAACTTGTGTTGTTTACACCAAAAGTATTCCAAGACCTAACAGTTCACAAAACCTGAACCACAATGCAGTACTGTCTCCCAATTTTTGCTCAAATGTATCCCATGACTCAGTGGCCCAAAGTAAGCTGGTATGCTCCATCTAAATCAGAATAGAGAAGCAGAGCAATTCACACATTATGAGTGAAAATCCTGACTGAAAAAGGTTGACACAAATTAGCACCTTAAGAACAATTTGACGTACTCTGTAGTGTATTCATTGTATTATAATATCTATGTAAATTACCTTACTCCCAAAGTTAAACATGTCATGTTTTGCCATTGGTAACCTAATTTGGCAAAACTTGGTTTAATTATTCAATTCCTACACAGTTTTTAAAAACAGACAAAACAGAGCATTTTCAAAACAGAGGATGCAGTTGGACTCCATGTTAAGGGTCTTTTCCAACCTAAATGATTTTATGATTCTGAAAGAGTTTTAGGCCTAAGGAGCACCTTTCAAAACTGCTAAATAGCAAGGAGAAATGTAGATTGATCGATCCTGTTAGGAAACCTTATGAAGAATTAAAGTGATGGGGAAACAGTTTTCAAACTTGGTTTTGCTGCACTACAACCAGTCCTATCCAGGAGCAGGTTTGTAAAGCAGCTTGACAGACATGATGTTTTCCCACTGCCACTAGTGTGGTAAATTGTGCAAAATTCAAGATTTAGAAGTCTTTCTATCAGTAGCATTTCTTGATATTGGCTAACAACTGAAAACATAGCTAAATGACAATAAAATAAATGAATACCAATTTTCTGTACTGCAAATCACTACTATTGTTGATAGAAGTTTTGTTCACCTTCACTTAGAAATAGCATAAAATAACCAGCTTAAGTTCAGTCTTTTTAAAAGCACTGAACCATGCACATGTTCCACAAGCACTGATAAAGCGTTTTACTTACAGTGCAAATGAACATGCATTAGATTGCAGGTAAACTAGACAAAATAAGCCAGGGCATGTCACTAATTTATCATCCAAGCAGCAGCTGCGCCATTCTGGCTCTTTATAGCTATTGCCAAGTTGGTTAAATTAACAGAGAAACAGAAGTGTTTAACTTTTAGGAGAGAGCAGGTCAAGCTGTTCCTAAAAATGCTGCACTAAAGCTGTAAACACTGATTATCCCTCTGGTTAGAACTTAGTGACAGTTCTGAGTACTGCTCAGACAGACAACATGGGCACTGCTTCACCCAATGCAAAAAGGAAAGGCTGTGGGAGTGCCTGCCTTCAACTATGTACCCTCAAGAAATACCACGTCTTTTCCTACCAGTGAGTAGTATTTCTCCTGAGGTTTTTCCACTTTTTAACTTCATCCCCACAAATCTTGCCATAACTACCTACCCAATAACTGGCTCTCCCTCAATCTGACAATGGTACTTCAAGAGTATCATGGAAGAGACAGCGCAAAATCTGGTTTTCCACTTACAGCCAGAATAAACTGTTTCAGTGGGCTATCCAGCATACAACGTTACATGACTGAAAGATTTTTCACTGAAAAGTATACCTCAAACCAAAAAGATTAATTAAAAAACATTGGTATTAGTACAAATAAAATACCCACCAGGCTTTATGTGCCTAGACATTCAGACACATGCACACTGACTTGTGAGATATACATCACCTATAGTTTATATACATATAAATAAGACACCCATCCCTTAAATGCAGAATGCCAGTGTCTAGTAGCCAGCTTTGGCCAGCAAGCAAGCTCCAGGTCACAAGTTTAACTGTGTAATCTGCAACCAAGGTTTTGCTCTTAAATCACTGACTTTAAGATGTGGCACACAATCCTGACACAGTAGCAGCTGTTTTGATGTCAGCATTCAAGTGCCAAATATTGGACTGTAAAAGAGATTTTACAAAAATTATTGTAGGTCTTGTGGCACCCAAATGAAGCCATGAAAGGTCTGGACCAAATATTAGACCCAGACACAAGCAGCAGAAGTAGTATTGCCTTTAATAATGATCAATATTTACACAGGTAGCAATGCAAGATATGAGTGATCAATTCTGCCAAACCTGATTCTCAAGTAGAACACCTGTGCAACCAATCATTTTTGCTGCAGGTTTGCACATGCAATGTAAAGACAATTCCACTTGTGCTATCCCATACGGGCAACTGGCAGAGGTTCTTGCAGGGTGGGGTTTTTTGTTTGCTTGTTTTTCACTAGCAAGTTGTGGCCCCTCTACAATGTTACACCACTTTTCCTGTTCTTCCTTACTGTTCATCAAGACATATAGCCTCCTCCAACGGCAAGTCCCTGTTTCCCTTTAAATATTCTTCAAGATATAACTTCCTGATAACATCACAAATGGTTCTTTCACTCAGTTAAGCCACACATACAACCTTGTTTGTGTCACTCCTCTCACAATGCCCTAATACTAGTTTCTCAAAAGGCAGCTTTCCAAATTGATAAGCGATCATCTGTGACCTGCCCAGGGGCCTCAGCTCCCATCCTGTGCTTGTACTTCCACGGCCTCTGCTACAGTCTTAGCACTGTCCACGCTGCAGACACCATGCTGGGGTTACCAGCACCTCACACTGCAGTTAGACTTTCTTAGAATACATGCGTGTAATGCTTTCTCAACTACTGTTATTAATATCTAGTTATGACAAAGTAAATGGTAGTTACCAAGCACACTTAAATTTGTTTGATTCTCTTCAGGTTCTAACAATGCCTACCTAGAAAGGCTTTACTGATTAAAGTATTTTAACTATCGGCTCATACTGCTCTGATCTCCCAAAACTAATTTAACAGGGTCATACATTTTACTCCTAAAAACGCAAAAATAATTTTCTTAAGGTTTTGCAATTGCTGTCACAACACCCAAGCTGAACAATTAGCTGAAAAAATGCAGAAATTTCTTCTGTTAAATGTTGCTTCACACAGTAAAAAAGAAAAACACACAACACAAAACCCCCTAAAACATAAAAAAAACCCAGAACAAAACTTAAAAGCATATGTCATGCTTTCCTTTATGTAGTGCTATTGTGGTCCCCATTTTCATCTACTTCTGCAAAAAGAGACCAGGAATAGGAAAAGCTAAAAGTTTTAGACATTTTAATCAGTGTTCGCAAGCACCTGGAACCTGAATATCAAGTTCATTCAAGTTGGGAGTAAAAGACCTCCTCACCCCTTGCAACTTTTTACATTGTGTATCTTTCAGTTCTCCTCGTGTGGATGCCAATACAAAGCATTTCTAGGTGCTGCTTTGAGACAAGTTTTAACTACATAATAAATGAATGCACACCCATCAAATAGGAGTCTGATTCTATGACAGCAATCTGTACTTCACTGCCATTCTCCATATTTCTCTTGCAGGGCTTCTTTTGCCTATGGGTCATTTTTCAATAGTTTGTAGATTGCAACTTCATGGGCAGCCTCTGCAACAAACTCTGGAATTTTGCTCCTCTTACTTCCCAAATACTTAATTCTCAGTAGCAACCTGTATCTGTCAACTTTACTGGAAGCTATTTCGTAATGATTAATACTTACTATGTATCAGTCTGACTTAAAATGAGACTTCAGCAAGTGCTGACGTGGATGACACGCTGTTTCAGTTTTGGGTCACCTCTTTGTGGTTAAATGCTATTCTGTATCAGATTTTTCATAGTTCCATACACGAACAATTCCTCCTCAGTTAAAATGAGTAGGGAGTTATACAAGATCATTTCTAATAAATTATTAATGACAATAGAAATAAGGTGAAGTAAAAGAATGACTTGGCTCCAACTATGCTCAGTATTTTTAAAATAAACTGCAATACAATTTCATACTTTTACAAATATCTTCCATACTAACATCTCCAAGTACTTCACCACATCCATTGTGTCACATAAAACTTGCAGAATAAGAGTATACCAATTTCACCAAAAATAGTGACACAGAAAGGATTTAAATCTTACTCAAATCAACATTAAATCTCCTAACTGGTATCACGTCTAATCAAAGCAGGATCACATTGAAAATCTAATGAACTGCTAAAATGAACATATGTAACAAGATATATCCACACAATACTGAAATGTCTACACAACATTATGGGAGAAAAACTGGGGCTCTTCTCAGCAACTGATATAAAGATTATTAGCAACACAGAATTAATAGCACTTACACTAGTTTATATATGTACTGTTTTATTTAGAAACAAAACCTGATGCAACTAAGAGGGCACTAAAAGGCTGATTTCAGCAGTCTTCCTTTTGAATCTGGATTTCCATAGGGAGATGAACAAGCAGATCCATTTTTACAGGGACATGATGCAATACCCGTTTTACACAGTTCCCTCTTTCACGATATAAGACCATATTTTTCTTAGAGTTTTTCTATACTTTCTACTTTTGAAATATATATACTACTTGTGCATGTTACTCTTTCATTACAATAGGTGTGGAATATTTAGTGCACTGCAAAGTTTATTTTAAGCTTCTCAAAGGAAAATTGAGGGGATATGCTAGTTAATGCAGAAACTAGCATTTCTGTAAACCTGTTAACTTTACATACCAGTAAATTTTGTAATTAGTCCATAGGGTATTTTTAATAAAAATATTCAAGATTAATTATGTTCTTATATGAACATATGTTACATACTAGCGTTAATCTAGTGGAGTTACTTTGATGTCCATTGATCAGAAAGCCTCCATAGGCCCTCTTTTGAAGACTAACAGCTGCAGAAGATATCAAGCAGTGCCAAATGCAGCTCCACTTTTGCTCAGAGACTAAGGCCAACTTTACAGTTGAAAGCTGCACCACTAGCGTGCTAGGACAGCAGGAAACCAAACTGCTTCAGCTATGGATTGAATTGCACTCTCACTCTGTGAGTTAAATCAGGTAAGCAAATCCTAATCCTGCATTTTCTAAAAAGAGTAACAAAACACCCATCCACTGCACAACAAGTAGGATTGCCTCCCTTCACCATTACATCTGCAATGGAGAACATGGCAGATATTTCATCAATTCATCATCATGGTTTATACCTATTTGTGATAAAAATCATGGCACAGTACATTAAAGCTGCATGAGAAAACTAAGAAGATAAAAAGAATTTTTAACCATCTAAAGTAAGAACTACAATAACCCAGTGAAAACTTAGTGGAACAGCTTGTTTTAAGAGTCATAAAACAAGCATTTCAATATCAAACTGTATTTCTATGTAGAGTCAGAGGCAAACTAAATCACACTAAATGTTAAAGAGTACATTTTATAATACTTTTAAAACATGATGAAATCTGATGAATTACACATATCTACTGTATGGTTGGTTCACATTATCAACTGGT